TCTTGAACTGGGGAGCCCAGCACTGGACCCAGCACTGCAGATGGGGCCTCCCCAGGGCAGAGCAGAGGGGGAGGAGAACCTCCCTCGCCCTGCTGCCCACACTCCTCCTCATGCACCCCAGGGTCCCCTTGCCCTTCTTGGCACCCAGGGCACGCTGCTGGCTCATGGTCACCCTGTCGTCCCCCAGCACTCCCAGTCCCTCTCCGCAGAGCTGCTCTCCAGCAGGGCCACCCCAGCCTGTCCTGGTGCCTGGGGTTGTTCCTCCCCAGGGGCAGGACCCTGCACTTGCCCTCATTTCACACCAATAAATACCCCAAAATTTACTCTAGAGACCCCTCTGCTCCCCTACATTTGTCACAGCACCAATCACAAGCACAAACCAGCGGGCACGAGCCGTTGGGCTTACCCGAAAAGCTGTCCTTGTCCATGGCGATCAGGTCCCTCGCTTGGTACATGTAGCAGCGGAGGTGGTACCTGTTCCCACCTGCACAGAAGAACGAGGAACCGTTGAGAGACCAGGCCAGGGAGGAGAGCAGGGCACCAAATCATGGGGTTTTTAACCCACCCTGGGCTCCTGTCTGAGGGCAGCTTGGCTTAACCCTCCCCGTGGCTTCCCAAGAGAGCACCGACCCCTCCACATGTCTATGTTCCCAGGGGGACAAGCCGTGCCCCATCCTACCCACCCCTCTCTTCCCATCTGCCTGCACTCCAGGTGGGTGAGAGGAAGAGGATGGGAAACGCTTGGCTACGGGGTCCCCACAGCAGAGACCCCGGACCAGGGCTCACTGCGGAGGAACTGCACCCCCTCACCCAACCCTCGGGGTCTTACAGTCAAATATGCACGAAATGGTGGGTCTGTTGACACCGAAACTGAGGGTGGAGATGGATTTGCCGTCATCGCTCTTGTCATCTGTCACTCCCCCCTGCAAGAGAAAGCAAGGCAAGGTCGGTCATGCCGGGACCCCCTCTGCGGCCGGGGCTCCCCGCGGGATGGGGTCTTCCAGGCTCTCATCCACACGGGTGTCCAAGAGGAGTTTGGGCTTCCCCATGGAGGGACCCTCAGGTTCTTCTGCCCTCGTCTCCTGATCTACGCCGCGCTGGGAGGGACCAGGACACCACAACGAAGAACTTCTTCCCTCTGAGGGTGACGGAGCACTGGAACAGGCTGCCCAGGTAGGTTGTGGAGTCTCCTTCTCTGGAGATATTCCAGCCCGCCTGGACAAGGTCCTGTGCAGCCTGCTGTAGGTGACCCTGCTTCGGTGGGAGGGTTGGACTAGATGACCCACAGAGGTCCCTTCCAACCCCTACTATTCTGTGATTCTGTGATTCTTCTGCTCCAGGAGGGCAGAGAGGACCCAGCTCCTGATCCATGCTGTACTAGGAGGACACCACAACGAAACCAGCTCAAGGGTCACCAGCTCCCATCCCGCCTCCCAGCACCTCACCAGCACAGCAAAGCCTCTCCATCCAGAGAAGTTCATCATTCCTGGAGCAGCAGTCAGCAGTTAAAGCAATTTCACCAAGTCCCCTTATGAGCACAATTAACGGGGTACAAACGACGTGAACAGCGATACAGACGGCGTCAAACGCAGCCAAACGCCCCAATTCGCTGCCCGGGGGGAGCCTCGACTGGCCTTGGCCATCGCTCTTCCCTCTGCGTGTGTTCGCCTACGAGGGCCGGCATTTTATCACCTCCTAATTGCCTCCTTCAGCTTGAAATATTTAGTCACGGGGTAACGAGCGTAGAGGTAACTTCCCGGAGAGCATACATCTGATCTTTAAATATTTTTCAATAATCGAACGCTAGGGAGAGACAGGAGGGGTGTTTGAAGAAAGAAGGAAAAAAGAAAAACACAACAGGTCCAGGATGGAGTTTCCAGAGCCCAGAGCTGCCTGGTCCCAAAAACACGTGAGGAGCTTTGGTGGTCTGCAGAGCCCTCTTTGCCTGTCCAGGCACGAGTCTTCATCAGTGACCTGGATGAAGAGTTAGAGCGTACCCTCAGCCAGTTTGCTGATGACACCAAACTGGGAGGAGTGGTGGATACCCCGGCAGGCTGTGCTGCCATCCAGCGAGACCTGGACAGGCTGGAGAGTTGGGCAGAGAGGAACCTGATGAGGTTCAAC